GGAACTTGTAAGCTAAGCCGCGAAAATTTGTTGATGTATTCGTCAAGAGCCTCATCTTGGTGAAGAGCGAATAAGTCGATGCGCGCCTGTTCCCTGTCATAAACCGGGCCGTACACTTCTCCCAGCTTGCTCTTCAGGTCTGGCCAGTCGGAAAACAGCGTGTTTGCCTCCTGAGAGGCGATAAACCAAAGACGAGCGTTGCCCTCCAGAAAACTCGCCGCGTAGCTCAAGCGCTCCTCCGCGTTGTCCAGCTGCAGGGACTTCATGGCGAGTTCGATGGCGAAGGCCCACTCCTTGAACTCTCTTGTATCTCCACGAAACACAGGCGGAGACTTAACATGGCGCATGCGTGGCCTCTCTCCGCTGGGAGCTTGAGCACGTCTTGGCGTTTGATCTGATCCATCGCACTGACCGAGTGCGATAAGGTGATTCAGACGCTTCTGAATCTCGAATATACCGTAGGCGACTAATGCGGCCACTGCGCATAGCCCGAACATGACGAAAAGAAAAACCATCCTCTTGCTACCAGTGTAACAGTCCAACTAACTTCAGTAGTCATTCTTGGAATAAGCAATGATCCTTGCCATAATGCATTCTTATATACATGAACAAGCAATGATGGACATAACACCTAACAGCAGCAGCGTGATAATAGCAGGTGATAAGTGTATCCTATTCCTAGTGTTAGTAGTAACAGTGAATCTGTTACATCCACCAGGACAGCCGGCTCGATCCACCCTGGCAAGGCTGTATCCAGATATTTCTATTTCATTGTCAGCTACTGTGTTGGTGAATTTTTCTTATATACAGTGGTTTTATCACGACATAGCATACCTAGACTGTATAAGCTTTGTTTATAGGAGGAAAGGAATACTATTGTAATAGTACGTGCATGTAACTCGAATGTTGAGCCATCAATAAATGTAGAAAGTATGTAGTATGTACATTATGTCGTTTACTTTGGACATTAGTTCTCTTAGTTCTCTCATTAGTTCAACTTCATTAGTTCTCTATACACAGAATTTGTCAGTTGTCACTTGTAGTATTGTCCCGAAGTTGTTTGACTGGGAATCTGAGAATTTGGGTTCAAATCCCAGTATTTGGTTTCAGAATTTACTTCTTTCATTTCTGATTTTTCCCTAAGCTGAGGAAAAGTTCTAAGTCCTCACACCTACTTGAGTACCGCTTATGCTCCCAGAAGTGTCGCAGAAGCCCAGGCACTCTGATCTAGTTTGGCCAACAGGTGTTTTCACGCACACATGCATGGATCATGGAATCAAGGGATTAATATATATCCGTATGCGTGGTCCGAAAGGTCCCTATCATCTCGACACCGCAGTTTGCTTGTGTTTCGTGCAAAAGCACAACTTGATAATGACAGTTCCCGTAGAAAACAGCAAACAAAGAGTCTACATTGGGTTGAAATATGGACGGATTTCAGTGCTAGGTCTGATAATCTGTGCCAGTAGATTCTCAGATTGCGCAAATTCCCAGATTGAGCGGAACAATAATATTATAATTACTATTCCCGTAGCTATGCAAAAGGCGTTACTTCAGTAATGTCTGGCGCTAGCCAGGGGCCACAAAGCTTTAGATCCGTGTTCTTCTTTTGTGCCATCGGCATGCCTGGCGCTAGCTCGTACCGCACCATCAAATACAGCTGGCCACAATATTCAAATAGGACTGTCAAATGCAAGATCATAACGTGAAGCAACTTGGAAGAATGAGTATGTATGCGAAGTGTATCAGGGAAATGCATGCGGGGCGATAGTGTTGGTTCGAATCCCAGGTTATGTCTTCAAAAAAAACATTTCGAGAAATGTAGAAAGGAAAAGGACATATGGATACGAGTTAAGAGTAACTCTCCATCACTGAAACTGGATACTATATACAGTCAGAAAGTGGGCTAGGCACAAAACTGACAGAGTACTGAGACATTCGATGTCCTGACACCTAGCTTCAACACATCTCCGTAGCGCTAACCTAGCTAACTTTGTTCCGTTGGGACTGTAGATTTTGCTAGCTTTTGCTCGTTTTCGTTGCGCTTGCCTTCCCCTCTTTGGTCTTTCCATAACCTTGAACCTTCCAAGTTGGAAGGCTGTCAGATAGCGCTATCGAGATGTGTTGAAGCTAGGTGTCAGGACGTCGAATGTCTCAGTACTTTGTCAGTTTTCTGCCTAGCTATTGCACTTTCTGACTGTATAAAGTATCCAGTTACAGTGATGTACTCTTAACTCGTATCCACATGTCCTTTACCTTTCTACATTTATTTATGGCTCAACATCCGAGTTTCAAATTGCACACCTGATGAGCCGCCGCGAAACATACGGCGAAACATACGTCATGTGAAACAACTTGTTTTGTAGTCAACTAGTCCATCACAATGTCATGCATGAGGAGTACTGTAGGAGTTTGGCTTTCGGCTTGTACAATTCGTTTTCGCAAAGCTTCCCTTTTCTTTACTTATCTTTGATATTTACGACCCACCCAAGTTCGGTGGTGTGCTGCTTTGCTGCTTCGAATTGTAGTTAGACCGCTTTGTCAAATATCGTACTGGTCTCATCATCGACCAGTAACATTCGAAATTCTTTGTTCCGTTGGGACTGTAGCTTTTGCTCGTTTTCGTTGCGCTTGCCTTCCCCTCTTTGGTCTTTCCATAACCTTGAACCTTCCAAGTTGGAAGGCTGTCGGTTAGCTCTACGGAGATGTGTTGAAGCTGGTTGTGAGGATGTCTCAGCACTCTGTCAATTTTGTGCCTAGTTATTGCATTTTCTGACTGTATATAGTATCCAGTTACAGTGATGGAGAGTTACTCTTAACTTGTATCCATATGTCTTTTTCCTTTCTACATTTATTTATGGCTCAACATCCAAGTTTCAAATAGGAGAAATGAAACATTTATAACATCCCTATGCTATTTTGGCTAGGTCATCAAGGTGGAAGACGGTGTCGTATTACCCTCGAATGCAAAGAGAAAGTTTATTTCCTTCGCTCAGGGCCCATGCTTTTTTGCCTAGCTCATCGTGAAATGTTATTCGAACAGATGGAATTGTTTTGCAGTACAATGATGTAGCCGATCCGTTGTCTGTGGTATGGTTGGGCATTGTAGCCGTCATGGTCGACGTAAAACACTATAAGATCTCAACAAAGTTGGGGCGAAAGAGAAAGTTCCATTAGTTCTAATACCATGCATGATGAGCTAGGCAAAAAAGCATAGCGTAGGGCCTTGAGCTGCCAAGCTCTCTCGTTATTGTTCACACATATCGGCCGGGTGAGTACGCGTGGCCCATTCACCATGGCGATCCACGGTTACAAACCAGCTTATGTTCATTCAGCAATGCAAGCAAGCAGGCAAGCTAGCAAGCAAGCAAGCAAGCAAGCAATCAAGCAAGCAAGCAAACAAGCAAGCAAGCAAGCAAAGATGAATGAGAGCTTTGGCAGTGAGAACTATAATTCATCGACTGATCTACAGACGCGAACTGATGGTGGTGGTGGCGAGAAGGAGAGCTCTGTGCCAGAACTTTGCAGCTTAGAGGGTGTGTGTGGGCAGGCGTTTGTTTACCGCCATATTGCCAGTTGTGTCTTTACCACCATATTTATCAATTTTAAGAAATCATTATATTTGCGGCTCGTTAGAATAACAACATGTTTACAGTATCACAACGAATCGAAAATAAGTTGTCCATAATGTTGTTGGTGGTCAGACTTCCTCGCACTTCCCAATCCAAGACGGTATGCCGCAAGGCAGCATCTTAGGACCAACGCTCTTCCTTTATTAGGTCAACGACATCTCTGACTGTGTCTCCCCAGAATGCCAGCTAGCGTAGTATGCAGACGACACAACACTATACTGCATGATCCGTGCTGATCACGTGTCCCCCGCCACTTTTAACTCACTGCAAGCCTCCCTCGATGCGCTCCAAGCTTGGGGATCGAGATGGAAGGTCCGGTTTGAGCTGTCAAAGTGCCAAGGAATGTCGATGAGCAGAAGATCAACACTCCTCCCATCCTCTTCTCTCAGCTTTGATGGTTCCGTGATCTGAGAGGAAACAGATGTTAAGCTTCTCGGTGTGACATTCGTCCGTAAACTGCTTTTCCACAATCATCTCCACCAGGTTGCAGTCAGAGCCATCCTGCGCCTTGGCTTCTTCAGGAAGGTGTGTACACGACTGCAACGGCCGCCTCAGCGTATACAAAGGCTTCAGCCGCCCAACCATGAAATATGCTCCCTAGTCTGGCAAGGCGCAGCCCGGTCCAACCTCGCGAAGCTTGACCGCATCCAGCAACGTTGCATGCACAGCATTGGCGCTAGGACCATGCTCCCGAGCTTATCAGTGTGTCGGCAAGTCTCGAGACTGTGCTACCTGTTCAAGCAGCTCTACATTTCCGGTCCAGCCCAGCTGACAGACATGCTGCCACCTGCTGCCCCTGAGCCCGCCCGCCCCAGAGCCCGCCACCAACATCAAGTGAAACACTCCCATCCTTGCCAGTTGTCAAACCCCCTCCCCGCAACATGTCCTGACATCCTACACCTATGCGTCGCCAATGCAGTAACGAGCTTGAGTAGTAAGCCGCACTATTGGCAATGGCAAAAGGATGGCGCCACAGATATTTTGGTGTCTTAGAAGATAGCTCGTTGCTCTACGGCCAACGTTCTCAACTAGGCAAATACACAACACCTCAACTAGGAGAGGAATGATTGTTCTAAATGCTACTTGAAAACTGAAAGACATGTTATTATAACAAGTCGAAAATTTATACCCCAAAATCCATAGGTTAGTGAGAACATACGACAACTATCTCGCAGTCTTCAGGGTTATCCGCACACGTCACAAATGTGGCCTTACAGCCTGAAGAGAACTTATTATTACGAACACATGTCACCCGTTAAAACGTTAGATTTGCTTCCCCATTATATTTACATGCAGTACTAGCAATCAAAAAGTAGACTGGTGTTGAAAAAGGATCATCTGTTCGCTTTTTCCTCTGTAAGTACTTACCATGGGGAGTACCCACTGAGAACTTGGCACCGATAGGTGACCTCCGACCATTGCTGACACGAACATATTGGAAACCGTAGATATGATAGCCTGGGGTTAGAACCACATAGTTGCTGTTGGCATTCGCCTCATCGGAATTGTTTCCCATCGAAACATTCACCGAGCCCTGTTGTCCAATCTCTACCAGCTGTATAGAGTGGCCAAGCTTTACGGCTGGGAGGGAAAAACTAACTATTTTGCGCGTACGATCAATGAAAGCTGGATTGAACTTCTTCACCTCTAAGAGACAAAACAAATCAGAGAGCCTAAAGTTAACAATTGTTATTCACATCTAACAAACCAATATTGTGGAACGCAAGTTTCATGTTGTTGCACTGAAGTTGTATTCGTAGGTTGACACTTCTTTAGCGCCTTCTCGCCTTTGGTTACGTAATCTTGTTACCTTTTGCGTTTCCTCTAGTGGTTTTATTGCACTTGTATCTTGTTGTTATTTCTAACACCTTTCTATTTACAGTACTTAACTTCAGTTTCTTTGGTTGTATCCTTAGTTCCGTATTTTTCCCACTGATGATAGGAACAAGAAAATCGATTATGGGTTTTCAATAATATTTTTGTTATAAAATACACAGAAAATACATCTCAAACAAGTAACCTAGTTGCGTGATGTCTGCGGCCATCATCCTATTCATAGCTATATTAAGTTAAAACTATAATTTATCACTCTCTTATTATTGACCCCCACAGAAACTTGTGATCTTGAAGCGGTCATATATCAGCATTTAGACCCAGCTCATATTAACCCCCACTAATTCCTGTGATCTATAACTGGTGAATATGTATAGAATAAACACCGATGTTGTAGTGTTTATGGGAACATAAATACTGCTATAACAACCGAGGCGTAGCCGAGGTTTTATATACAGTGTTTATATTCCCATAAACACAAGACAGAGGTGTTTATTCTATTTATACCTAGCTTCGTTTTTGGCCTGAAATACTGGTCCGAAATCGCTATTTTAGTATCCCAGTATACAATAGTATACTATTATGTGTAGGTAGTATTGCGTGTTCCAGACCTAAGACCTTTCTTTCAACCAACATCTGCATCAACACCCTGGTGGCTGGGTGGTCAAGATAGGTGCTTGGGAATCTTATGGTCGCAGGTTCGATTCCTGCTGAAACTTCTTTCTTCTCTTCAATTATTTTTTCTTTTTCAATTGGAGGGAAAATTTCCAAGTCCCTTGAAAGTTGAAAAGTTACAACCTCTAAGTGGGTAATATAGCAAAGTATATACAGTCAGACCTCGTTTATCCGGATCCCTCGCCATCCGGAAGAAAATCGCTGGTAACCGATGTGCAGCATAATGTCATGCATACAACATAACCAGATAACCGGACCTCGCGATCCGCATACCGGTGCATGATTTCGTGTACAAACTGGTTAAAATGTGTGCAAAAAGCTTCGTCGTATCCGGTTGCATGTGGCTGGCTAGCGCTTGCAGAAGCTAGTGTCAGGGAGTTGTGCAAGCAAATGAGGTCCTTGACCTGCTGGGTGTATGCGGACAGCACTCAGTTGCATGCACTTGTCATTTTCCTCAAGTGTTTTACATACTGGGCACGCTAGTTGTACTGCATAGGACCCGTCTACATGTATGTACGATGTCACTGCTTTTGACATGCCACATGCATATACAGTATGTGTGTTCAGTTATCCGGTTACCTCGTCTATCCGGATATTTTTGTGGAAAACAGATGTGTGCGGTTAAGCGAGGTCTGACTGTACCCCAAGTTAAAGTGGTGAATATGGAGATATATTCACCAGTTATAGATCACAGGAATTAGTGGGAGTTAATATGAGTGGGAGTTAATATGAGCTGGGTATAAAATAGTATACTATTATGTGTAGGTAGTATTGCGTGTTCTAGACCAAAGACCTGTCTTTCAACCAACATCTGCATCAATACCCTGGTGGCTAGGTAGTCAAGATAGGTGCTTGGGAATCTTATGGTTGCAGGTTCGATTCCTGCTGAAACTTTTTCTTCTCTTCAATTTTTTTCGTTTTCAATTGGAGAGAAACTTTTAAGTCCCTTGAAAGTTGAAAAGTTACAACCTCTAAGTGGGTAATATAGCAAAGTATAAACCCCAAGTTAAAGTGGTGAATATGTATAGGATAGACCAGGTCGAGGTCAATATCCTATTTATCACGAGTCCTTTGCCATAACCCCAAAATTTGAACCTTTAGGAGCTATTTTAACCTTTTTAGTATAGCATTTGTACTATAGTGTACATTGGATGTTGCCTATTTTGGATACAAGACTGTAAGAACAACAGGATTCAGCATCTGCAGCACAGTGGCTGGGTGGTATATGGGGTTGCTTGAGATTCATAATGTTGTGGGTTCGAATCCTGCTTGTTCTCTTCCTTTGTCTTCTTTCTTTCAAACTTTCTTTTTGAAGTGGAGTGGAAAATTCTAAGTCCCTCCAAAGTCGAAAGATTACAATGCCTAAGTGGTCGATACAAGCGGTCGATACAAGCGGTCGATATTACGGTGATATGGGTAATATAGGACCAGTCAAGGATCACGAGAATTAGTGGAGGTCGATATAGATGAGTGATAAGGAGATATATTCACCAGTTATAGATCACAGGAATTTTATTTATTTATTACAGCATCTCATAGCACAGTGATAACACCGGCCAATACAAAGAGGGAGGGTGTTAGCCAACCACGGCAAGGAAGGGAGAAGGGGAGGAGAAGAAAAAAGGAACCGCAATGATAAGTAGTGATTGCAACAAAATGAGAAACACAAAATCAAAGTCAAGGCGCGACAAGGCTCTTAAAAAGGCGGAGGGAAGAAACGTCCATAGCTTCTTGGGGAAGTGCCAGCCACGCAGAGGATGCAGTAAAAAGGGGAGAGTGAAGTAGAAAGGAGGACTTGGGTTTCGGAAGGGAAAGGGAGTTTCTCGTGCTACGGGAAGAAAACCAGTTGAACCAGTGGAGGTGAGGTGGACATAGATTGAGTTTGGGAGAATGGATAAGGGTGACAAGATGTGAATTACGTCTCTTAGACAAAGGGGCAGTGTCAGCAAGGGCATAAAGGGTGGAAGATGGGAGCATGCGGGGTTTTCGGAGGAGAATATTTAGAACATTTTTGGTGCTGAATTTCGAGCTTGGCAGCACGGGTTGTGGAAATTCCAGCCCAAGCAGTATCTGCATAATCAAAAACGGGGCGTAGGTAAGCTGAGTAAAAGAGGAGTTTACAAGAGATTGGGAGATGGTAACAGTGAGAAGAGAGGATTCCTAAAGATGAACTTGATCGTTTACATATGTAATCGATGTGGGGTTCCCATGAAAGATTAGAGTCAATGAAAATGCCAAGAAGCTTATGGCTGGAGACTATGTCTATAGGCTGGGGGAAAGTGGTATGGAGCAGGGGCGGTACATCAGGCTGAGAAGGAAAGAGCATGATTTTAGTTTTAGACAGATTGGGCGATAACCGCCAAGACGACATCCAGGAAATGACTCTTTGAATCCCGTTAGCTAGGTTACTCATCAGGCCAGTGATGTTAGGAGATGCCCGTAGGAGCGTTGTGTCGTCTGCGAATAGTGATGTGCCCGGGGCAGCTGCGGGCAGATCATTGACGTATAAGATAAAAAGAATGGGGGCCGAGGATGGAACCCTGGGGAACTCCGGATAGTACTGTTGTGTCGGCTGAGGCCGTCCCATGTACCGTGACGCACTGCTTTCGCCCAGTTAGGTAAGATGTCAGCCATAGCAGGGGAGTGCCGTCTACAGTAAATGATCCACGATGCTTGGCCAAGAGCCCCCGGTGCGAGACGGTATCGAAGGCCTTGGCAAGTTCGAAAAAACAGATCCCGACTAGATCTCCAGCATCCCGATGTCGACACACTAATTTGCACCAGGCGCGTCAGCTGGAGGGTGGTAGAATAGCCTCTGCGAAATCCGGACTGGTCGTAGAAAATGCGCTCACAGAGTTTGGAAACACAGGACAGTAGAGATATCGGACGGTAGTTTGATGCTTCGTGGCGGGACCCTTTCTTGTAGATCGGTATAACATTAGCTGTTTTCCATGCAGGGGGAAAACGACCAGTGCGGAATGATAGGTTGAAAATCAGACATAAGGGGTATGCTATTGAGGGCGCAAGGGACTTTAATACCAGATTAGTGATGCCGTCTGGGCCTGGCGCCTTGTCAGACGGGAGCTTTCGAATGTAACGTCGGATGGCATCAGTCGTAGTAAAGACAGATGTGAGGCGGTCAGCCTCACCCGACTCCTCGGCAATGGGGGGAATGGGTAGAGAAGGGTCATCAGGCACGGCCACTGAGGCGAACTGAGAGTTCAATGCAGTGGCTTTAGCTGAAGAGGTAGTAGCCTGCTGCGTAGAACTAATGGTGAGTGTCGGGATGGCACGAGATACTTTATGATTTTTTAATTTGCTCACGAACTGAAACAGTGATGGGCGTTTTTTGTCCTGCAGCGTAGCTTGTACGGACCGAATTTATCCCCGGTACTTCGATCGAGTCAGACTCTTCTCCAAGTTCCGCTGAGATCGATATACATGCATGTTAAGCTGTGTTGGGTATTTCTTACACACACTGTAGAAATCGTGCTTTGCATTTTAAATTAGTGGGGGTTAAAGGGGACCTACACCCAAAAATCAAAACTTCATGGTCCGTAGAGTTTTGGACGCTGAGTCGAATGGTGAAGGTCCCACTTCGATCCGACCAAGCGTTCCTGAGATATCTTCGGTTTAAATTGTACTTTCGGGGGACGCGCCATGACGTCATGCGGCCGCGACACACCCCCAACATGCCCTTCTACGTCATTGAGACTCGCTTGCTTGGGCCAAGCTCAGAAAGTACAGGTATTTTGGTATGTGAAAGGAATAGTTCTGACAAAGACGTCCTCACCATGAGCGATTCCGACGTATCAGACGAGCTTGAAAGCTCAGAGCCTGAGCTGAAAATGTTTGGCTTCGGGCATGAGCCGAAATTTTCAGGAAAGGATATGGCAGCGCAAGCGGTGGCTTCCATTCGGGATGTAAATGTGGATGAAGCAGAAATGACTGCAATTGGAGAAGTCGCTCTCCATCAGCAACATCTGGCAACCGGTTGGCTGGGCAATTTAGAAATGAAGCGGCAGCCAAAGCAGCTCAGACAAGCCTGACAATCCGTAAGTGTTTTCACAGTATAGTCCTACGTAATGCTCACAAATCGAATCGTTCTCTTCATATCGTAAATTGTGTGAAATTTTGTATTCGCACAGTACTCAGATCAATAGTCTCCTCACTCGTACTCCTGTTCATGGAGTTTGCTGCGTAACATGGCTAGCATTATCTCCGTGCAATGTGTATCGGTTCACTTGTGCTTTATCTCACATAAGTGGACTGCACCTCAATTCGTATTGTGGCGAAATACATTCTCACCTTTTGCATTATCACTTATTCTTTACAGAATGCTGAGACGTTCTCTTGTATTTCACGTAGCTGTGTACCAACAATTACGCTGTGCACTCTAGCAGCAGCAGCAGCAGCACAGTAGCACATTGAGTGCGGTTTGCCCTACTGTGGTGTCTCATGACTGCATTACCGGAACAGCTCTGTCCTTCTTGATTATTATTCTAAAACGTCTGCACATATCCGCCTGCGCCCCACACACACGCACGCACATGTGCTCACCTTGGTGGGCACATAGTATAGTAGTCACACATGCTCACGCACGCAGACACGCAATTTCACAAGCGCGTGCGCACACGAGTGCATTAGCATACAAGTGCCTGTGCACATGCTCGTGCACGCACACATGCGCGCACTCATGCACTTGGTTGCATACGCACACATCCCTCAGGATCACTAACGGCAATGCATCTACTACTTGTCATTCCATGTCCCTCCCGCAAGGGGGAGAGAATGACATAAAGGAGAACACAGAATAGATGACGTGAATATCTTTGGAATGTTATATTACGTTACACAAAAGCACACGCATGTGCGCGCACACACACATTCAGTGTCACGCGCATGCGCGCACACACACACTCACGCGCGTGCACCCACGCACACAATAATAATAATGTCTGTCTCTCACGCGCGTGCGCGCAAACACACTCACGTGATTTTGCGCAGGCTTTGGAACGTCGATCTACACCCCAACGCAAGCCTACCTGCAAAATTTGAGCGAAAAATTTGGAGATCGACTTGCACAAATGTTCTGGTTTTCTCAGACATGCTTCTTAAAAGATAAACACACATTCAAGTGATGCAGAGGAAGTATGAAGGAAATAAGTTGAATTCAATAAATTCAAACTCACCTGGCGTAGGCACTGGAGATTGTTGTGCGGCAGTAGCATCGTCAGGAGTAGCAACAGCATCAGCATTAGCATCAGCACCAAAAACAGCATCAAGAAAGTGTTTGGATGACAAGCACAAGGCACAGATTACGGGACCGTTAGTCGCATGTCATAACTGCACACAGACGATTAGCGAGCAGGATTATGAGAGTGAAATAGGGAGATAGAGATAGAGAGATATGGAGAGAGAGAGTGAGAGATAGAGAGAAAGAGAAAGATAGAGGGAGAAAGAGCGATAGAGGGAGATGTAGAGAGAAAGACAGAGCAGAGAGACAGAGAGACGCAGAGAGAGAGAAAAAGGCAGAAAGTGAGATAGAGAGAGATTGGGAGAGAGAGAGAGAGAGAGAGAGAGAGAGAGAGAGAGAGAGAGAGAGAGATAGAGAGAGAGAGAGAGAGAGAGAGAGAGAGAGAGAGAGAGAGAGAGAGAGAGAGAGAGAGAGAGAGAGAGAAAGAGAGAGGGAGAGAGAAAGCGAGAGAGAGAGAGAGAGAGAGAGAGAGAGAGAGAGAGAGACAGAGAGAGAGAGAGAGAGAGAGAGAGAGAGAGAGAGAGGGGGAGAGGGAGGGAGAGAGAGAGAAAGAGAGAAAATGGTGGAGGGAGAGGGTAGGGGAGGGAAAGAGAGTGGGGGAGGGTGAGAGAGAGAGAGAGAGAGAGAGAGAGAGAGAGAGAGAGAGAGAGAGAGAGAGAGAGAGAGAGAGAAAGAGAGAGAGGGAGGGGGGGGGAGGGAGAGAGAGAGAAAGAGAGAGTGAGAGAGAGAAAGAGAGAGAATGGAGGAGGGAGAGAGTAGGGGAGGGAGTGAGTGGGGGAAGGAGAGAGAGAGAGCGAGAGAGAGAGAGAGAGAGAGAGAGAGAGAGAGAGAGAGAGAGAGAGAGGGAGAGAGTAGGGGAGGGAGTGAGTGGGGGAGGGAGAGAGAGAGCGAGAGAGAGAGAGAGAGAGAGAGAGAGAGAGAGAGAGAGATAGAGAGAGAGGAGAGAGAGAGATAGAGAGAGAGAGAGAGAGAGAGAGAGAGAGAGAGAGAGAGGGAGGGAGGGAGGGAGAGAGAGAGAGAGTGAGATAGATAGAGAGAGAGACAGACAGGGAGGGGGAGAGGGAGGGAGAGGGAGAGGGAGAGGGAGAGGGAGGGAGATGGAGAGGGAGAGGGAGTGGGAGAGGGAGAGGGAGAGGGAGGGAGAGACAGAGACAGAGACTGAAACGAAGACGGAGACAGAGGCAGAGAAAGGGAGGGAGAGAGAGAGAGAGAGAGAGAGAGAGAGAGAGAGAGAGAGAGAGAGAGAGAGAGAGAGAGAGAGAGAGAGAGAGAGAGAGAGAGAGAGAGGTAAGAGCCAGAAAGTGAAATGGAGAGAGGGAGAGAGATTTGGACACACCTACCCAGCTTGTCAAACCGGCCAACAAAATACAAGTGTGTAGTACAATATCCAATCTGCAACAGGCAGGTTATCCAATCTGCAACAGGCAGGTTATCCAATCTGCAACAGGCAGGTTATCCAATCTGCAACAGGCAGGTTATCCAATCTGCAACAGGCAGGTTATCCAATCTGCAACAGGCAGGTTATCCAATCTGCAACAGGCAGGTTATCCAATCTGCAACAGGCAGGTTATCCAATCTGCAACAGGCAGGTTATCCAATCTGCAACAGGCAGGTTATCCAATCTGCAACAGGCAGGTTATCCAATCTGCAACAGGCAGGTTATCCAATCTGCAACAGGCAGGTTATCCAATCTGCAACAGGCAGGTTATCCAATCTGCAACAGGCAGGTTATCCAATCTGCAACAGGCAGGTTATCCAATCTGCAACAGGCAGGTTATCCAATCTGCAACAGGCAGGTTATCCAATCTGCAACAGGCAGGTTATCCAATCTGCAACAGGCAGGTTATCCAATCTGCAACAGGCAGGTTATCCAATCTGCAACAAGCAGGTTATCCAATCTGCAACAGGCAGGTTATCCAATCTGCAACAGGCAGGTTATCCAATCTGCAACAGGCAGGTTATCCAATCTGCAACAGGCAGGTTATCCAATCTGCAACAGGCAGGTTATCCAATCTGCAACAGGCAGGTTATCCAATCTGCAACAGGCAGGTTATCCAATCTGCAACAGGCAGGTTATCCAATCTGCAACAGGCAGGTTATCCAATCTGCAACAGGCAGGTTATCCAATCTGCAACAGGCAGGTTATCCAATCTGCAACAGGCAGGTTATCCTGTGTTCTAGTCGTGCAGTCACTTGGTCGTCTCGAATATCATATATGGGATCTTCTTGGGTATTACATCAGAGCCCCATTCCAGATCTTTGCCAGAAATTGCGTAGTGAAAGTACGGGAAGGCCTACGCAATGCCTCTGGTGCACGGTTCGCCACCTTCAAGCTGGCAAATGGCAAGAGCATCCCACTTGTAGAGAAAGCGATTTTAAAACCCACAAGATCAAGTTCTCCAACACAGGGACCTAAAGTAAGTGGAGTTTAAAAACTTGCATTTGCACCTCACTCTATCGAGAATCTTTAGAATTATGTTCAGCCCTTGTTCGTATTAACATCAATTTTTCATCAGTTCTAAGAGTTTGATATGGATTCTGGTATCTTGGCCGTACTACGCATACTGATCCAGCGCTATCTTTGCATAAAAAAGTATGGTGAGCTTCTCGATTCTGCACCTTTTCCAAGTACACAACACATCAAACAACAAGAGGAATGATTGTTCTAAATGCTACTTGAAAAATAAAAAGTAGACCGGTATTGCAAAATCATCAGTTGTACTCCTTAATTAAGTACGTACCCAATGAGAACTCGGCACCGACAGGTGACTTACGACCATCGCTATCACGAATATATTGAAAACCGTAGATATCATAGCCTGGGAAGAGCACATAGCTAAGATCACCCATTTGAGAATTTTTGAATTTCTTCGAAACATCCACCCAGCCATGTTGTCCAATCCCCACCAGCTGTCTTGAGTAGCCAGGCTTGACGGCTGGGAGGTAGAAACAAACTATTTTGCCCTCATGATCAGTGAAGGTTGGATTGGTCTTCTTCACCTCTAAAAGACAAAACAAATCAGAGAGCTGAAATTTAACGTTGTGATCCACATCTAACAAACCACTAATATTATGTAACGTGATTATTTCCATTTGGAGGTGTTACTGTAAGGTATGTCACTGTAAAAGCCTTATTCCCTTAGCTATGCAGAAGACATTATTTGTGTGTGTCACGCCTGGCGCTATCCCGTATCTGTCCCGTACCGTACCGTACCATCAAAGACAGCTGGCCACAAACAGCTGGTCACAATATTCAAATAGGGCTTTCAAACCCAAGATCACAACGTGAAGCAACTTGGAAGAATGAGTATGATTGCGAAGTGTATCAGGGAATGCATGTAGGGTGATATTACGGGTTCGAATCCAAGGTTATGCCTTGAAAAAAGGAGAATTGAAAAATTTATAACATCCCTATGCTTTTTTTGCCTAAGTCATCAAGGCGGTAGACAGTGTCGTATTACCCTCGACCGTACCATCAAAGACGGCTGGCCACAATATTCAAATAGGGCTTTCAAATGCAAGATCATAACGTGAAGCAACTTGGAAGAATAAGTATGCATGCGAAGTGTATCAGGAGATGCATGCAGGGCGATATTGCGGGTTCGAATCCCGGGTAATGTGTTTGAAAAAATAGGAGATTTTTTACAAGAAAATTTACGCAACAGAACAACAAGGACAATCAAGGCTTGTTTGCTGCTACTTTAAGTTTCATGCTCACCCAATCATCAGGCAACATGATTTTGCCTGATGATTGCGTGAGCACGAAGCTTAAAGTAGCAGAAAAAGCCTTGATTGTCCTCGTTATTGTGTTCTGTATTACGCTCCGCCTTTATGGTGTTGCGGCAGGCAGGCATAGTGTGACGGTCTAAGATCATGATTGAGAAACAGAGTGTACCAGGTTCAAGTCCTGCTTGGAAGCGGAAGGATTTTTTCCAGCCGTGCTGCGACCCACAGTTAATTGGGAACTCGTGGCCTGGCACGAGGAAAACATGGATGCAGTGAATGGGATTTTCGGTCTTTGACCACTTGCTGGTGAGCTGATCTACTCACCTCCCACCGCTTTAGGAGCTGCATCTGCGCCTTGATCCTTGAAGGGTGGTGGCGTTCCTACGGATGAGGAAAGCCCGGCTTCCAGCCGAGTCTCACGCGAACCGTGAAATTTAAAAAAAATTAATTTTATGGTGTTGCGCACTGTCAGCACTCTAGGTACATCCTTCGGTATAAGAAAATTTAGAACATCCCTATCCGTTTTTTGTCTAGGTCCTCAAGGCAAAAAGCATAGCGTATGGGCCCTGAGCTTCCAAGCTCTCCAAGCTCGGGGAGAAATCTCGTCGTTGAAAAGAGAACATTCTCCAGAAATGGATAAATCTACTGTTGCTACTTCTTGAAGTAGTCGGCACCGAGATTTATAGTTGTAATGATCGCCATTATCATTTGAACACGTAATTCGGCTAATTTTTAGAAACCGTTACACTTGCGGCTCGTTAGAATAATAGCTGTGTACAGCATCACAACGAATTTCCAAAACGTTGTCCAAAATCCACAGGTTAACGAGAGAATGTGCTAACATATCCGCACTTAACACATAGGAGGCCTTACAGCCCTAAAAGCACTTGCAATAACGAAGAAATTTCACTTGTTTGAATGTTTGTTTCAAGGTGCACGTTTTTTGCTTCAGTGGAGGTTTGCCATTTTGGGCTCCGCTTGTATTCAGTCAATCTTGCAGTTTTGCCCCTCAGGGGCTGGCTTAGTAGGATGGACACAAATGTTTGTGGTGATATCACAGTGGATAATCAGTTTGGTGTTCCAGACCCCATGCGCAGAGATTCTTTCCATCAGTCTTGCTCAGCATCTGAAAGTCATCTTTTTCAAAATCCTCGAAGAAATGGAAAGGGAGCGTAGTCTTCCCGCCGATCGACAGAAAAGATAAAATAGTTAACATCGACGACCTCGCCCATTTAGTTTCCTCCCTGACGAAGATCGTTAATAAATCTGGATCAACAACGGATTCAATGGAGGCAGCAAAGGCAGTCGGCCATGACGAGACCAAGAGCAAGGGAAAGCCACGTCGGAAGAAGCAGCAAGCAGACAGCAAAGCTAGTACTCGTGCGGACTTGAGTTCACAACTTTTGAACTCAAGCAGACAGCAGCCAGCTAAGCCAGTACCCGTACGGATTTGAGTTCACACCTTCTTGAACTCGTGCAAGCAAACACACCTGATATGGCCATTGGTGCAAGTGAGCAACCCAGCGTGACGAAAAGTCTCAAAATTCTCAATACCAAAGTCGCAGTGCGCGCTTTTGAAATTGCTGCGATCGCGGCTCAACTTACGAGTGATTTATCTCAGGAACCGTAGCTCGCAGCGCTTCGCAGATTGTTTTTCCCGGCAGGTTAGAGTTTTCTCTTCGCCCTGGATATTTCGATTACTTTGAGCGAGATTGGACTCAGTTACGATCTTTTGAAGTTTTGCATTTGAATGCGTCGTTTACGACGCATTCAAGTATGGGGCGGCTCTTAAGAGACAGCTCACTGCCTATCTGGAGACACGACAGCCATTGCCCGACAGCCAGTTTGCTTATCGCAAGCAACATTTGACTGAGGATGCACTTGTGTTAGCTGTTAATCGATGGTCCACCGCTAGATGAAAACGAGAATTCACTGGGACAGTGTTTGTTGATATGTCGAAAGCTTTCGACCGTGATAAGCATGAATGTCAAGTTACCGTTTTGTTTTCCCTTGGTAAAGCTGGGACTGCATTGGTTCACAGACTACCTCTGAGGGCGTTTCAAGAGTTTAAAAGTTCTGTACTCTGTTAGTGAAGTCGTCATTTGCTCCCGTGGTGTCCCACAAGGTAGCACTTGTGGGACACTTGGGCCACTGCTTTTTGTGCTCTACACTAGTGAACTCTACACCATACTGCCACCGTCCGCCACCAAGAATTTGCAGATGACAGTATCATCAATTGCTCCCATTTTGATTCTGCTGTAGTGTGCAGAACCCTCATGCAAACCAAGACAAAACTTTCTACGTGGCTGGAGGACATTGGCCTACTCCTCAACACTTCTAAGACACAGTTGCTCTTCATCCGGCCACGAGGTGCGGCTGCAATACAACCAGAGGTCTTCTGCAATGGCGAGAAACTTTGTGTGACCCCTACATCCCAGTACCTTCGTTTAGTCCAGGATAATGATTTATCCTGGACTCCACATGTGGAGTATATTGGTCGCAAGACAGCGCGAACAATTGGTCAGCTCTGGAGGCATGGGCGAGAACTGAATTTCCCTGCCCGGTGAATGTGGTTCCTGAGCATGATCCTTTCCCAGCTGTGTTATGGTTCAAACAGTTTCTTTCCAGGACTTAGCGCACACCTGCTTGGTCAGCTTGAAAGGATGTTCACGGCTGGCATCTGTGCCACCTTGAAACAGCGGCTCTTGACTCCAACCGCCCCGCTGCTCTCTCTGCTCAGCATTGTTAGTCTACCACCTACATTTTCACACAAAATTGTCGTATTTGTTCATCGATGCAATAACTCCTCCTGTAGTCCCTTCTTCAACAATTATTCACCCGAACGGCCCCAGAGACTTTTCTAGAGGATCAGTGCCCTACACGGGACAAGTGTAGAACTTGCTTCAAGTTTCCTTTCTTCATGGGCCTGCGGGACGATCTACCATGATGTTTCGGCGAAGCATTCGCTGGAACGCTCTCCCTCTGATTTTAGAGTGATAGGTGTCCCTGGTCCCTTCAGAAAAGCTTTTTCTGCCATTAATATACTTACTTTGTGAATATCCTCGTTAAACTTTTATTATCTGCCATAAACTCCAACCTTATCATTCATCTATCAATCATCTGTGCAAGTCTATAAAATATACTACTTGTTCCTGACTCCATGAAATTGTCTGTCTATTCTTTGACCTAATGAAATCATCGTCTTTTTATTTCTGACTCCATGAAATTGTCTTCATATAATAATTATTGTATATTTTTATTCCCCGTAGCTATGCAGAAGACGTTACCTCAGTAACGTCTGGCGCTAGCCAGGGTCCACACAGCTTTAATTCCCGTAGCTATGCAGAAGACGTTACTTCAGTAACTTCTGGCGCTAGCCAGGGTCCACACAGCTTTAATTTGGTATTTGTGTGTTTGTTTGTTTGTTTTTTTGTTTGTGTCACGCCTGGCGCTATCCCGTATCTGTCCCGTACCGTATCATCAAACACAGCTGGCCACATACAGCTGGCCGCAATATTCAAATAGGGCTTTCAAACGCAAGATCATAACGTGAAGCAACTTGGAAGAATGGGTATGAATGCGAAGTGTATGGGGGAATGCATGTAGGGCGATAGTGCGTGCGGGTTCGAATCCGAGGATATGACTGAAATTTTTTTATAACATCCCTATGCTTTTTTTGCCGTAATCAAGGCGGTAGACGGTGTTGTATTACCCTCGATCGTACCTGTCCCGTACCTATCCCGTAATGTACCGTAAGATCAAATACGGCTGGCCACAATGCACATTCAAATTGGGCTTTCAAATGCAAGATCATATTGTGAAGCAACTTGCAAGAATTAGCATGTATGCGAAGTGTATAGAGGGATGCATGCAGGGTGCGCGATAGTGCGGGTTCGATTCCCAGGTTATGTCCTTAAAAAAAGGAATTTTTTAAACAATTTATAACATCCCTATGCTTTTTTTGTCTAGCTCATCAAGGCAAAAAAGCATAGCGTAGGGCCCTGAGCTTTCAAGCTCTCTCGTTTGGTATTTGTGTGTTTGTTTGTTTGTTTGTTTGTGTCTCGCCTGGCGCTATCCCGTATCTGTCCCGTACCGTACCGTGCCATCAAACACAGCTGGCAACA